ATTATTTCTATCTATCTATCTATCTATCTATAGTTCCACTTTTCACTAGAGCATGTTTCTCCTATTTCATGTTGTGTTGTGCTACTTTACTAAAGTTTGCAATAATTTTTTTTCCATAAGAATTCTACATTAAATTCATTTTTTTCTTGATTGAGCTTTAAATAAAACATATTTTACCCAACAGAATATTTGTATTTATAATCTGGGGACAGTTTTCATCCAGGACCCCAAATCAATTGTTTAAAGGTGTCACTTTAAAAGAAATGTTGAGAGGCTCCAGCCAGACTTGGGTATCAGTCCAGAAACCAGCAACATTAGGGCAGTAGAAAAACAAATGCAACTGCTCTTCCTCTTCCTCATTGCAGAATCTACATAGTGATGATTTTTCAACATCAAACATATGACGTTGTTTTATAATTTCATAGAAAATCTTCATTACTCAGTCACTCAAACTCACATTTCATCTGCAATACACTTGAAGCAACATATGTTTTTTCTAGAGCTGACGTTTGGCTAATTTCAAAGCAAAGACAGGTCTCAGAAGTACAAATTTGGAGGATAGTTTATCATAAAACAATCCTACTCAAACTGAGTCTTATAAATAAAGATAATAAAAGGCTTTTTATTAATTAAAAATGTAACCAAATTATCATTTTGACCAGAAGATGGTGGTGGATAGGCAAAGTTATGGTACTACTACAACTTATCCTGAAGGGTCGTGAATGCGCGTGCAGTATCCAGTATCATGCAAATACATCCAAAGTCAAAGGGTAGAGTCATTAGGCTTTATTCTCATGTGAGACTTAATGACACTCTCACTATGTTCACATTTGTTAAATTTTACAGCAGAAATATAAGTTCAATTATCTTTTGCTGAGGTCCCCTGCCTGTAATATGCTATGCCACAAAATGTCACACTGAACGTTTTGCACAGAGTTGCACAAAATGCTGCACATTATAGAAGAACTGAACAGACCGTTGAGGCAGCAGGTTACAAAGAAGCTTATCTGAGAGTTTCTCATGTGTAATATCACACTCATTTGTGTGTCAAAATCATGGTTTACTTCTGCAGTCTGAAAACAGGAACATTAGTTTTCATTCTAATGCCTACTGTATGACTTTTTTCTGCCCGACCAGGGCAAGTTGTCCTTCCTCCTGCAGGTCGTGGCTGACCTCTTGCCAACTCCAAGCAACCTAAAGATCTGGGGTAAAGAAGAAGACCCATCCTGCAAACAATATGGAGCGGCTGTTTGCACCCTGAACCACATCTTGACTGGATGTCCCAAGGCACTGGGAGAAGGCAGATACAGATGGAGGCACAACAAGATCCTTGTGGAAGTTGCCAAATGGACAGAGCTGCAGAGGGTTAAGGCCAACAAACACCAGGCTTCACCACCCAAAGCGGTCAGTTTCCAAAGGGAAGGGGTCAAGACTTCTAGGGCAAGAACAGCTGCCAAGAGCCTGGTTTCAGTTTTGAATTGAGCCTCTGACTGGGAGATGCAGGTGGACCTGTAGAGAAGACTCGTCTTTCCTGAAGAGGTAGCAGTAACATCACTCCAACTAGACATGACCTTAATATCAAGGAGCATGAAAACCATCTTGGTTGCCGAACTTACAGTCCCTTGGGAGGATAGGCTAGCCATCTCTCAGTTAAAGAAAGCAAAGTACCAGGACTTGATTGATGAGGCCCTTGTCAAAGGGTGGCATACATCCTTATTTCCTATTGAAGTCAGCTACCATGGTTTCCCATCAACATCAGCACACTATTTCTTACAAAAGATCTGTTTGGAACCCAGACAACTAAAGAAAGCCACCAGCGAAATAGCCATGGCAGCCAAGACAAGCTTGGTATGGTTGACCAAAGCCCGGAGCTGGAACCCCTCTCCAGTCGTAGGTTTATCCTAGTCTCCACTGCCCCACGCAGCTGGGGTGCAAGAGGTATGTAGTCAGGTTCAGACCTGGCTCAGGGAAAAGGACGTCCCTGCCTTACATAGTCCCGGGTCCAGCTGCAGGGAGCGGTAGGGAGACGCCCTTAACCGCTGCTCCACCATCCTGAGATGTTCTGGGTTTAAAGGGGCAAAACATTAAGGAGGGATGGCCCCCAGCTGACAACCCTGCAGCTGGTACCTGTGAATGCTCCTACCATCCTGCCACCGAGGAATAACATCCAGAGGAGGAACATGTAACGCCTTATCAAACGTAGCTCTAGATTCTGCTCGTAGCAGAGCATTCTTGATGTTTATTACACCCCACATGGTCTAAGCTGATTGCGGTTGTTTTTACACAAAGTGTCTGAGAAAGTGAAACCATTAACTTTAACCACATCCTTGCTGTGCAGCAAATCAGCAACACCACCTCTCTCAAACCACACAGTTAATACAGAAATAACTTTATGTTGTCCCAAAAAGTGCTGACAGTGTGACACTGAGCCAACAATATCAGAATCTTGAAACTGAAGCGGCTAAATGGAATTCAGCTGCCATTAATTTTATTATTTACACCAGTGTTTTTCCTAATACAAAATGTCTCACGCAAAAAAGGCCTATTGCAAACATGCCAGTTTTAGTGTTTTGTGTGTTTACATATGAGAAACAAATGTACAAAAGTTGTCTATATGATAGAATTCTTTTTAAATGTTTCACATGCTCTGATAATGCACAGATGAGGTCATCCTCCTCTTAAATGGGTTGCCAGGGGTTACAGCTGCCATTTTAGGTGAGAAATCAACTTTTCATGCAACACAGCTTTAGGAATATTTCCCGTAAGACAGAAATTACTCAGACCAACGAACAACAATTGGGGCGTGGTTGGTGCAGTGTTAAATTCCTGCATCTTCTAATGGTGGAGTTATAAGGCAGTCCTGGTGTAAGTAACCCAATGTGTTTTTTGTATGATTATACAAAGGAGATACTAGTGAGTTCAGAGGTGCTATTTTTGTTACCTTAAACCTTGTTGTTACCTAAATATTGCTGTTGTCCCCGGCTTCATATGAAAAGAGGAAAGATCGCTAGCTGCTAGGCTAATTTATACAATGTAAAATGTCATACTCTTGTGCTAATAACATTAGCATGTTGTATTTGTGGGGAATAGAGAATGAGATCGCCGATACAAGCGGCTGAAATGAGTTTCCTCTGTGGGGTGTCTGGGCTCAGCCTTAGAGATAGGGTAAGGATCTCGGACATTCGGAGGGAGCTCAGAGTAGAGCCGCTGCTCCTTTGCGTCGAAAGGGGTCAGTTGAGGTGTTTCGGGTATCTGATCAGGATGCCTCCTGGGTGCCTCCAGCTGGGGGTGTTCTGGGCACGTCCCACTTGTAGGAGGCGCCGGGACAGACCCAGAACACACTGGAGGGATTACATATATCTTGGAACACCTTGGAGTCCCCCAGGAGGAGCTGGAAAGCGTCTGGGGTGCTTTGCTTGGCCTGCTGCCTGTGCGACCCGGCCCCGGATAAGTGGATAAAAATGGATGGTTTTTCAATGCACTCTAGCACCATACTTTTATTTGAAGTGACTTTTTTATTGTGAATGTGAGGATGGTCCCACCACCAGGCACCCTACAGCAGGCCAGATTTAGCTGTAACTGGTGTATCACTAATGTGGGATGTTGTTGGTTTCAGTCACATCCACTGAGTGGTGCCGTAGTACAATACAGAAACACAGTTCAACTCAAAGCTGAGCCAAACCATGAGGTTTAAAGTTATGATGGTGTGTTTGTAGTCATCCAAAATCAAATATCTTAAACTCTTGTCATTGGAGGATGATATAAACCCAAAGTTAGTTCCTGAAACTTTATGCCCTGTCATTGGTTCTCTTTTTCTGTTTCGCTGTTTGTGTGTTTGTGCCTCCAGGTGATAAGTCCTTGTCAAACCAGTCTGACAGGGCAACCGCTTCTCTTGTTCCAACAGCACACATCTGTTTTTGGCTGCACCACCCACACACTGCAAGCATATTGGTTTTGTCAAAACCTAAACGCCCCTTGCCCTTCTCTCTCTTGCAACATGAAGGTGACTGTTAGAGGATAATAAATAACCTACAGAAAAATGATATTATTTAGATTTCTGTCAGTAGTTAGTAGTATTATGTGTTGTAGATACTATGAACTATAGCTAGAGCTGCAGAAAATTTCCGATTGTGACAATTTGGCTAGATTTGGAAACTCTTACTGATCAAACAACCGTGAGAAATCTTGTTTCATTTAGGGAATGAGGATCCCTGAGAAATGGAGTGGAATAGAGGACAAGCCGACACACGCCATGTGGGCGGATCAAGAATGCTACCTGAACAGCAGGAGCTGCAGTGATAGGTTTAGAGCGCTGTCAATCATCCGGAAGCGGTGCGGGCGCACCCATCGGGCGCATCTCTCTCAGGTTGCTGTCGGGTTTCCATGCAAATACGCACCGGGCGGCTCCGCTTCAGTGTTTTATCTTGAGGGGAAACGGCTACACACAGAAGAATCAGTGAGTTAGACGGAGAAAATGCAAGTGTCGGCAATGGAGAGGAGGATTTCTACCCTGACTCTGCTCTGTCTGGGTGAGTATTTCTGCAAGAGATAGAATTTCTGTCCTTTGCGCCTTACTGAGCTGCCACACCTGTTTACGCACCTCCAGGTATTCTGAAATGGAACAGGCCCAAGCAACCTGCTTATACAAATGGCCTTCTCACAGGTTTATTGTAAAATAAATCTAGTTTGTTGTTTTTTTTCCAAAAGTTAATTTAGGCAAACACATTTGTAGAAATCATGGAAGCTCTTGAGATCAACATCATCCAATTTTAATGTTTTTGGTTCGACCTGTATTCTAGGTGTTCTCTCTCACGCGACAGTGGTTTCCAAAAGGCATATGGGACTTGCTTCAACATCAAGGGTGTTAATCAACCAAAGATTTACACGATTATTTTCAGTGTGAAACCATAGTCTTGATTAAAGAATATGGTCTCTAAAATGTCCACTACAAGTTCCCATAGCTCATGGTGACGCCTTGAAACGATATAAAACGTATTTTTAACACAGCACAAAATCCAAAGAAATCTAAATGTATTTAGTTTGCCTTAGAAGGGTAAGAAAAAGCAACAATATTCACTTCCCTGTGAATTTCTATAGTTTTTTTGCTTTTAAAAGCACGCATAGTCGATTTCTTTTTTGTCCATTGACTAAGAGTTTCAGTTTTAAACATGTAGTAAATTATCTGTGCACAGCTCAGTTTCCGCTGCTGTATCATCTGCATCAAAGCCTGTAATGCAGTCAGATTGACATGATAACTTCCCCACCGGATGTTATAATTGACAGGCACCAGCCACATGGTAATAATCAATATTCTCTTTTAAAATGTATTGCAGTGTTGTCAGGCGTTGGTGCCCTCGATGTGAACATACCTAAGGAAGTGTATGAGTATGCCAGAGGTGACAACATCACACTGCCCTGCAGCTTTAAACCCAAGGCTACTAACCCCCCAATGATCGTCATCTCATGGTCTGCTGAGGGTGCACAAGCCAACGCTGAAGAGGTCAGACTCCTACAGTGTGTTTCTATGTACACATGTGTATGATTCTTTTATCTGTCAATCAATAGAACTTTGTTTTCCTCTGACTTTAATGTTCCTCCATTGCTCTCATTGTCTAACAGACCTTGATCCTCACTTACTATTCTGGTTCCAAAACCCTTGACATCAAATCGCTGTACGAAGGCCGGGTGGCCCTGGACGTAGATGTTCCCAAGGGAAAGGCCGACCTGAAGCTGTCCTCCATCACACTAGCAGAGAACAAGGTGTTTGAGTGTCGTGTCCAGATTCCCGGTGACGATGAGGGCAAGCCGGCTGACACTGCTCGTGTGGTGGTTCTAGGTAAGGTTTTGTTTTGTTTTTAAAGAAATATTCTGTGTGTTAAAAAGTGAATGTGAAAAGAGTTGTGTATTGCACGTTGTTTCAGGTAATATCAGGTATTGTACTCTAAGTATTGGAAAGCTTAGTGAATATCATGTTAAGCATTTAAATGTTCTGTAATGAAAGCTACTGTGACACGTCATGCTTATAGCAATGAAGGGCAAAAAAACTAAAGTAAAAGTAGATTATCAAAAAGAAACATACTGTGATAACCACTTTGCTTCCTGTTTTTTAGAACATTGGTTTAAACAGAAAAGGTGGTGGGTTTACCTTCCTGTTGTGTTACGGAGGGCTTTATTTGCATGGGAAACATACAATTAAATTGCCAAAGTAAGTGTGAAATAAAGACAAAATTATATGCACAGTAAGTAAAGATCTACCACGATTTGGTTTATATACATGTTGCTAATGACTAAGTAACACCTCTGACACACCTACCAAACAAGAGAAAATGTACTTCAAAGCCTGGGGCACATTCAATCTCAAAACGGTGTGCATCATTTTGCTACGGCTTCCAGACTGAACGACATACTTCCTCAAAATGGTGGGAAACAGCGGGCAACAGACTTTAAAGTATGTCATCTCTCGTTCAGTGGGTGTGTCAGACGCGTACCCCAGTCAGCAGTGATGTGTATATAAACCAAATTCTGGTAGGTCTTTACACACTGTACACACAGTTTTGGGGTTTATTTTACACTTGCTTTGGCAACGTAAGCGTGTGTTTTCCATGGAATAAAGGATGTTGAAGGACAAATCACACTTTTTTCCCCCTAGTGGCTCCATCTACGCCCATCTGTAAGATCGAGGGGAAGGCAGAGTACGGCCAAAACATCAACCTGACCTGTAAGTCTGAGGAAGGCTCGCCGCCACCCACTTACAAGTGGGATAGTCGAGATGTCAGGAATGTACCTCGTGTTCCACTCCCAAGATCCACAGACAGTAAGTATCAGTGACATGGTGTCTGACAAGAACATACAAGTCATCTGTCAGCACACAAAGGTCTACCTACCTCTGCAGAAGATCCACAAATCTAGATTTATACAAGTAATATAAACTAGTCCATACCCATTGAGTGCACAGTTGCCCACGTACAGTTTCACATGGTGTGTGTTTGGGATACAGGTCATAGGAAATTGCAGATTTAATAGTCAACTGAACCCATTAAGAAGAGCAATGTATTCAGACAGAGTTTTTGTGAATTTGATAGTACGATTGCTTTATTGAAAGTACAATAGTACCATTGCCAATACTGGGATAGTTAAAACTGTACATTAGTAGTTGAGGTAGCACGTTGAAAGGCAGATAGTTAAAGTGTTTATATGTTGTATTGACTTAAAAGTGGGGCGCACTGGTAGAATGACTGACTTACAGATTGACACACTGACAGTTTCCTTGATTATGTACAGCATACCATACCATGACTTAGTCATACCAAAAATTAGAAAAAACAACAAAACATTCGGCCACAGGGGGAGCCACAGCGATTGGTCGAATTGTTGCCATTTTTAAGCATTTTTCTGTTGTTATAGCGCCACCCAGTTGCCAATTAGAGTTAAATTTCTCCAGTCACCTTGAGGCGTCCTGTTCTACATATCTACCAAGTTTAGCAAAAAATCGTGTTTAGTGAAAATTAGGCCTAGATAAGAAATTAGCTCTCTAGCGCCCCCATTTTGTTTGATGGGGTCAATAATGGAGGGCTCCCCTCAGATTATGTGTGGTCATATGCCTACAAAGTTGCGTGGTGATCGGTGAAACCCTTGAGATGTTATACACCTTTATGTGATGAGCCACGCCCTCCGCAATATTCATTGCCTTATAGAAGCTCAGTTTTAGTAAGTTTTCCAACTTTTGCCAAGAGGGAACTTTAGATATTGGTCCCTAGATTATGTTCACCATGTTTCATGCAGATCAGTCAAACTTCCTAGGAAGAGATCGATTTGAAGTGTTTTTCAAAAAATTCAAAATGGCGGAAAATCATTTTACAGTCTTCTCAGTGTACTTTTGTGGCAACACTGTTGTAAAATGACCTCAAACAACATAATCCATATATGGTATTTCTGTATTGCAGTTTCTTGCTACTTGTTGTAGCTAAATGTCTGATCAGCTAAAATCAGAATACAGTACAATAACATTTTCAATTACTACAATAAAAAGCATTGATTACTGATTGGATTTTATTAAAATGCAGCAGCGCTGAACAAAGTCTATAAATATTAAAACAATAAAATCATGATTACAGTGATGCCTGTATGTGACTGCCTCTCTTTCTTTCAGAGGACGGCATCCTGTCTCTATTCAATATCTCCAGAGAGGCATCAGGATTCTACATCTGCACCTCAGCTAACAAGATCCGCTCTACTACCTGTAACGTCACCCTTGCGGTCATGCCACGTGAGAGACACCTTTTTTTATAGCAGCTTTTCATTAACAGTCTGGCAACTTGGTGTTCCCACTGAATACATCTTTAGCAGTGCATTATAATACCTTTGTTTTCGTCTTTCTCTTCTCTCAACTCGTCTTCCTTCAATCCTGCAGCTTCCATGAACATTGGCTCCACTGCAGGGATCATTGGTGGAGTTGTTGCCGCTTTGATCGCACTCATTATCATCATCTATTGCTGCTGCTGCCGTAAGAAGAAGAAGGAGGAGGAATACGCCATGGGGTAAAGTTTTCCTCCCTTAAAGACACACTCACGCTGACTGATAACCAAGATGCTGTGATGTGAGCAGCCCAGTCCCTCCAGGATGTTGCGATGGCAACAGTTCACGCAAATTCTGCACGACCTTGCAATTTTGTCCAGTCACCACAACTTTACAGCAAATTTGACTAATTAGAATTGGCAGAGTCTTATTTCATTATCGAGCCACGCTCATCTCTTCCCTGTTCCTCTCTCTCTGTTCATCATGAGACTACTGCTGCACCCAGGACAGAATCACACACACTGACGTGGCTAACTGTTAGCATCACATGGCTAACGTTACCCAACATTTATTAAGGGGTTAATTGACAGAGCTGAGTTGTTTCTGTGTCTGTGTGAGATTGTTGAGACCATTTACAGGCTTCAGATGTTATCTGCTGCTGCTGTGTCAGCTCATGCTAACTGGGCAGAGAGGGCAGGAGGAGAGCAGCTCAGAGTGATGGACCCTCAGCGCTGCATTGAACAGCTGTCCCCCTCCCAAATAACCCCCCACCGTCACCTATAGATTCTAATTCTGTGGGAAACACTGAACGCTCATGAAGATAAGCTCTGAATCTGAGACAGCATCACAACTGTTTTTGCAATTATCACATGCCCCCGTAATTTCACTGCAAAATGCATGCATGGCAGTTTTTTAGAAAAGCTCCTGTGAAATAATTTCAGACCGAAACAATCACAAAAACAGCTCACGAAATCTTGGAGGGACAGATACAGTCCATTCATGAGGCTAAATGAGCAGATTTACAGGCTGAGGAATCAACAGTCTTCTGTTTTCAGTCTTCACAAAATATTAAAAGCCAAAATACTTCATTTACAAAGGAAAAGAGTTTCCAGTAAATAATGAAAAGGTCAAGAAATGTAATTGAAAAAATGTACAGTTATGCTGCCGCTTGCTCACAGAGCATCTGAACATGCAGGATCCAGGGAGCCGTTTCAACATTTTATTGCAGGTAGGGTAGTCGAACAGTTCAATGGTGGTTGTCGGATGATTTTTTTCTATAACAAGGAATATTAAAAGAAAGTGTCACTCCTCTGCATTATGTTAAACAATAATAATAATGAAAATAATATCAGAAAATTAGATTTTATTTATTCTTTCTCTTCATTAAACATCAGTTTAAACTCAGGAATCTTAGAACAATTACACAAAACGATGTGTTAACTTTAAATAATACACACAGGATTAACACAGTAAAACATTATCAAAGTGAAAAGTCCTCTCTTTGTTTCACCTGGGATGTTGGGAGGGACTAAAAAGAGTCACAGGCCTGGAGGGTGGAGTTTTATAATCCCGGGGGAGTGGTCTAGTCAGGAGTGCAGGTGATGTGGGTAGGGTGGAGACTTGTGTTTGAAATTGTATTACTAGATATTTCCGTGTAAGAATATCTGTACGATCCCCCCCAACCTGATGTTTTAAACTCTGACTTCCTCTTAATGTTTGTAAATGAATCACCAAAACAGACACTTCCAAATATCATTCATTCCAGCTGACATCATGAACAAACGCAGGAGCCGCAATTCAACATACCACATTAACACACCTCAGATATTTGCACTTGTTCTGTTTGTCGAGGTCTTATTTGTTCCATTTGATCAAATTACTTTCATCCTATGTCTGTCTCTCATTGTTTGATACAGCCTGTATATTGTCTGTTTTTGTACTGAGCCGAGCCAAAGACAGATTTTGGGATTTCAGAAAAACACAAATCCTTACACTGTTCACACAAGCAGCCTGAGAGATGTGATGTGAACAAAGACAATATCCCACTGATGTCACTGAGTCATATATGTTGACAGGATTAAGTGCATTAATGGAGTGCAGAGTGTTACTACAGACTATCTTGCAATGGGATCACACCAGCCGCAACCCTGATCCACGACTTAAAACCAGTGTGGGCCCCTTCTCTACTTCCTACCCCCCTCTTCCAGGCCCCTTGTTAGGACCACACCCATTTTTAAACTCGGCTTTCAGTGTAACAACCAACCTCATGATGATCATGCACGGTTGTGACACTGTTTCATTTATAGATCAGTCCACAGACAGACAAAGAAATACAATACACTGAAACCCCTTCACACCCCAACATCTGACTGTTGTGTTCTCTTTCCAGAGTTCGAGGGGAAGAGTACAGCGACAAAGAGCCGCCCAGAAATGGTGAGAGTCGCCGCGCTGATGGGCAAGAGGACAATCATGGTTATGATGACCGTGCGAGGAGTCCTGGCGATCGCAGTGACCGCTACGAGGAACGGCGCGAGCGCAACTACGAGAACCGTAGGGATGTCGACAACCGAGGCAGGGATTATGACGATCGGCGCAGCGACTACGATGATCGGCGCAGCGACTACGCTGATCGGCGCAGTGACTACGATGATCGGCGCAGCGACTACAACGACCGCCGCAGCGACTACACTGAGCGACGTGACAGGTACAGTGATCGCAATGAGCGCTATGACGATGAGGGGCGCTATGAGGATGACCGCCGCTATAATGATGACCGCAGGGACCGCCGTAATGATGACGATCGCTATGAGGAGCCCTATGATGATCGCGATCCTGACAGACCACCCGTGCCAGCCAATAAGCCACCGAGGAAAGACTACGATGTCTAAATTCTCCAACCTGAATCAGCCACTGTCTTCAGTCTCCTGTTTCAACTCCACTGACTTTACCCCAATGAGAGCCAGTTACGTCACACTCAAGGTGTGACCTGATTGGCTCAAACAACATTTTTGCCACCATGGATGTTGTTGTGAAATAATTGGCTCGAACACCACAGCTGTACCAGATCCAAGAGGAAGCAACATGTGTCATTTTATGTTTGAGATGTAGAACAACTCTGAGTTGTTTGTGGGAGAATTGGTTGAGGAAGGGTGGGGAACTCAAGATGGTGGCCACAAAGCTTGATCTGTTTTCATATTTCAGATTTTGGGGGAGATGTAGGGGACACACTGCCTGCAATATTTAGATTGGTTTGTCCCCCTCCAAATAACAATATTAAAGTAACATAGGACTTATAAAGAAATAAAGAAATTTCCACCATAAATTAATGCAGAAGAAGCACAAATCGGTGCAGAAAAATACCACCAGAATCCAGGAAATTAAGTCGTTGATACCAAAATGTCCTACCCTTTAATGAAGTGGGGGGCACTTCATATATACCATCCCCCAAATGTTGAAATGAAACCTACCCCCTTGTGTGTTTTAAACAGGAGCCCTGTTTTCACCAAACGCTTTTGGTATGGTACCTTTGGAACCAAAAGTAATCCTTCAGACTTGGTAACTAGACCCTAGCATTTCCACCGCAAACAGTGTGGGTGGGGTTGTTGTCGCTCACTGCTGTCGCTTACTGCTCCATCCAGCTCTGTATTTCCTCATTACCGGTGACACAGATGGAAGTATGCGCTACCTTTTAGGACCAGATCTGTGTGCTAGGTACCCCAACAGAGGGGGGGGACCAAAAATGGGGACGTACAAAATGGTTCCATTGGTACCATCCACAACTTCTCACAGTGGAAACTTGAAAAAGCTCACCGAACTCAATCGTACCGTACTGCTCGGTGGGAACAGGGCTAGGGAGTAAGTTGGTGAGGTCAACAGTTACAAACTAATCCAAAAATTAGGTGGCATTTTATCATTAGATTTGATATGTTGGCATTATTACATAAGAATGCCAGGCCTTACTATGTCTGTCTCTGTTTGTCTTGATTTTAGATGACTCTAGCTGTCGGGTGAAACTGTTGGTAGTTTGTTGTTTTAGGAAGCTACCTCCGCACTACAGAACAGGGCTTTAGATTTGTGTCTTTGTTTATGCTTGATAGAGTCATTTTTGTTTGTATACTGTCTATCTTTGTACAGGAACATATGTTAAACCAGTTTTAATGTCCTCTCTGGTTGGTGCTATCATGTTTTCTGCACCATGATTTTATAGAAAGTAGAACTAAAACTTCCTCTTCCTCTCTTTTTTTAAAATCTTAAATGAATATAACAATTTTAATGCAGTAGGCCAGTGATACTAGGCTTAGGTCCTGCAGGCCTAATGTGGCACACGATAGCGTGCTGGGGGCCAGCTGACCATTTTCACAATAAAAATAAATTGATGCACAACAAGAATTGTTGGCACTTTGAATGTAGATAAGATTCCAGAGTGCATAAACATGCATCAATATAGAGTGTGTTTCTAAAAAAGTGCCAGGAGAGGATCCTCCAAACCCCACATCAGAGGTCTGATCTAGTTGCTGTGACTGGATTTACATCATTTATTAATTTTATCACATAAATATTATTACTGTTTGTATATTAACTGGCCCCTAGCCTCCTGCAAAGGAAGTTGAGTATCCCTCAGTAGGATATATGACCTCCTTTTGCTGTACGACCCTCAAATATGTTTTTAATTATGTCGAATTGTTTTAAAGAGAGATTTCTGTTGAAATGAAATGCAATGGAATATGCAAAAACAAATGTTTTTTTATTATCTTAGCAATTGTAAAAGCTTTACACTGGGGTTTATGTTGTGAAATATTGTAATGCATTCTATTAATGAAATGTGCTGTAAAAAATAATGCTGAAATAAAGTGAACAAAACTGCTTCTTGTAATTGTATGAATCCTGAACACTAGATGGCAACATTACACCTCCCAACAACTGAAGTTTCATATGATTACAATTAGTCCTGGGCATACATGTGGACCACAACGGAAATATATTTCTATTTGTAGAAGCACCAGTTGTTGTATAGATAGTTGTTATTTGGGGGATTCATTCACATCTTAAACTTTACCCTCCATCACCTCCACCATCCATTGTCTCATTGTCTCTGGAAATAGCGTCCCAGGCCCCCTTCACCACTCTGCTGTGTAAAGTTACACAACTACTCAACTAGTACCGGATATGTGGTCATTTGAACTTCAAAATAAAATAACTTAAAAAAAATCTGCCCAAAATATATTTCTGGTATTCTGCTACATTATGAACAATCCAGACTTCTCAGGTCATCTCAGACAGGTCTGGTCAGCTTTCTGTCTCCAGAGTCAAAACTAAACATGGAGAGGGAGCATTCAGTTTTTATGCTCCATATAACCAGAACACACTCACAGAAAACTGCAGGTCCGCTGCAACTCTTTTAATTAAGGCTGAAGACTTTTATGTTTGCCCCTTTTATTAAATCAAATACTTGATCATGTCTTACACTTTTATTCTTATAGTATCTGACATGGTCATCGTCTATTTTAACTTGTTTTTATTTCTCTTGGCTCTTTAATGGATCTTTTTAATTGTATTTAAATGTTATTTTATAGTGTGTTTCTTTTGCACTTTTTAGGTCTATGTAGAACATGTGAACTGCCATGTTGCTGAAATAAATAAACTTCCCCTGCCTTAAAACATATGACAAGCCATCAGTGTGCGTTATTCTTTTCAGTGATAGTAGAAGCAGTTACTGATATTTTATTTTTAACTTTACCCATAGGTCAGCCTTAAAAAGCTACTACTACTCATTATGAATGTTGTCCTCATTATTTTGAAATGTTCAATATTTCAGTTGTTCAGCTTTTATTCCAGTATGGTGTTTGGTTCTGTGCCCAAAGTCTTTGTAGAATGGGTATGTTAACTATATGAATATATCATTTGATTTGAATGGAATGTGTCTTTATTTGTATATTACACATAAGTAGGCTAACTGACTAAGTCGTACTTGCCATCAGATTAATGCAATATACACTAAAGCATTTGATTCAGTTTTCAGACTGGTTTTATTTCACTGGCAAAATATAAGCAGACTATAGCAACACTAGGAACCATGTCGTGCACTCAGCAAATAGTCTTGCTCTTTGTGTCTTGCTGTAGCCTAATGTGTAGGTATCTGTTAATTAACGGTGATGTAGACAGCTTACCAGAGCAATGAATGAGTGACTCTGAAATAATGTATTATTAATTATCATTGTATTGTATTATTAATCAAAACTAAAGGAACTTTGCAGGTATTTAAAAAATATACTTCTGCAGGCACCATTGCAGTAACAGTATTGGCCAGCGAGTTATGGTGAAATGATGCCAAAAACTTGTAAAGCTCAACATGGTCTAACCACCAGTTATATAGCTGAGCTTCTGACTACCTATATGCTCCAAGTCGTGACCTCAGATCCCCAAGCCTACCCTCCCTAGTGGTTCCTAGAAGGAGGTTGGTAACTAAAGTTGACCACCAAGGCCCTGAGGCTCTGGAGCTGTCTGCCTGAGGAGATGAGGCTGGCTAGCCCATTACCCATTTTTAAATCATTGCTTAAAACATATTTTTATAGGAAAGCTTTCCCTTTTAGTGCCTGATTTGTAATTTTTGGTTTGTGTTTTATTTCCCTTTGTTCTATTTTTGCCTCTGTACACACAATTTTTCTCAGCTCATAATATTTTTAAAACAAATATTGCATTGTTATTGCTGTCTTATTTTCATGCACTTTGTGAAGCAAAGTGCTATACAAAAAATTAGATAATCAAATTCTTAATTAATAAATGCTAATAATAATACCACTACTACTACTACTACTAATAATAATAATAATACTAATAATTATAATAATGACAATGACAACAACAATAATAATACTAATAATACTTATACTAATATTAATACTACTACGACTATTATCATTATTATTATTATTATTATTATTATTATTATTATTATTATTATTATAAAATCTTACACTTCAGTAGAACACAGGTCGTAATTTTCCCTCAAACCTTAGAAACACTTGTTTTTTCATTTACTTCCTGCCAACAAAGCTTTTATTTGGAAAGCCCTTACCGGAAATTGTGAGTTTTATTTTGACGAGCTTGACGCAGGTCCGCTGTGGTCCTGCTGAGCGCGCGCCGCGGTCCCGTTATGTGCCAGTTAACTGCAAACACCGTCCAGGGATGAGACGGAGGAGAAAACAAGACGGCGGTCACCAGAAAACTTTCAGGGAAATCACCTGCAGGACTTGGACAATGTGTTTGTTGCCGAAGTGGTGGATTTTTATCGTTTGCCTGACAGGTAAGAGAAGGGATAAAAAAGAAGGAGTCCACTCTGTTGGTGGTGTAACAGGTTGTTTAACTCAGATGTTTGGAGAAACAGAAAGATAGCGTCAAGACAGAGCCTGTACGGACACATTTAGCATTCAGACTTTCTGTCCCATATTGATATTAATGTTTTGAAAGATGAACGTTGTGTATTCTTCCTTAGCACACCAAGGTTCGGTTCATTTTGCCGAAGCTGCATTATTTCACACAGAAAAGTATAAAAGTAAGTGATGCTAAGTTACAGCTCGGTGCTCTGTGGTATGCTAGCAGTGCTGCAGTCAACTGTTAATTAACGGTAGTCATGTGTGAATGATCCGAGCAGGAGCTTTGAGGCTTGTGGATCAGAGGGTCTAACTTCTGACAGATTCAACTGGGTGCTTCAGTGAAATGACACTTTACCACTTAATGTAGGTCGACTTAGTAAAGGAAGGATTTCTACATAGCACTGCAGATGCATGTAAAGCCATGGATGATTATGATCCAGAGATGATCATGGGTAAGGTTAGATAAAACGTGATGATCCCCAGGAGGGAGATTTAACATCACATAGTTATATTATAGAAAATAATACAGATAATCAAATTATTTATATTAATTTAATGTATTTAATTATATTTTGATATATAAAATATGTATAAAAATACCTCATAATACAGCTGTATTGTTATGTTACAAAGACAGTAACAGACATTAAGAAGTAACACAGCATATACACCTGCACCCTTTGATCATTCCTCAACCCTGACCTTTCCCGACCCCATGGGTCTTTCTCTAAATTCTACTATACCATATAGAGTAGAGTAAAAATGAAGACAAAATACAACTACCAATTCATACCATTCTTCTAGTTAAGTTGAGTGCCCCCTTCCGAGCCTCAGGCATGATATATCCTGCCCCTTCAGCCTAGCAACAGAAAGCTCCACAGATAAAATTTCTATTAAAGAGTATTTCCACTGCAGTGCATGCTGATAACCATAGCTTTCTTTGAGTGTGATTAAAGTTCTGCCCAGAATCATCATCATTGAGTAGCATACATGCTGGAGAGCAGTCAATCTGAGCGCCAAAAATTTCAGATTGGCGTTTTGTTATTTGTTAAAATCCTGAAATGTCTGCTAGCAATGTATACCCAAATTATACCATTGATTATATATTGTATTTTGGGGCTTCCTGATGTTCTACAAACTGTATACATAGACACTGTAGCTGAAACATTTGTCAAATAATCAATTAGTCGATCAACAACCTAGGAATCTGCAACTTTTTTGATAGTCATTAATCATTCAAGTCTTTTTAAAGCAAAAAATGGCTCAAATGTACTGGGTCCTGCTTCTCAAATGTGCACATTTTCTGGTTCCCTTGGTCTTAAATGATTGTAAAGTACATATTTTTTGGTTTTGGACTGTTGGTTTGAAAATGCAAAACATTTTAAGATTATATTAGATGATATATAGGTGCATTGTTCTAATAACTATAATGAAATAAACCATAACGGGAAAACATATAAATACGATATGATAATTATGCAATACATATGCAACAGGAGCAATAGCATCATGCAATATACTGTATACTAAAGTCATTCAGTACACTACAGTGGCATCTGGGCCAATTGTTGCACATTTAATAATGGGTTTCTTTAAGTAGTGTCATTTTTCATTAAACAAAATGCATTCTTAAAGGCACATAACACATCCATCTCCATGAAAAGAAAAGCAGGTGCAATGACAGATCAGTGAAATATCTGTAATTTTTGTTTTAGGAAATTATTCTCCCCACACAAAAGCAGATAAATCAAGGCAGCAATATTTATTACTGCTACTCAAATCTCTCAAACATTCTCAGCAAGGCTCCTCTGTCCAATGTTACAACAGTAACTGTCTTTCCCCTCCTCCTCCTGCTTTCATTTTCTCCTCTGGAGGTGGCTGCCTCTGAAAACCAATAAAGCCCGGATCGCCCTTCAGCCTATGATCTCAGGAAGACCAACCTCCTGACTTTTTTTGTTCCAGTTCTCAGAAGTCTCAGAGAAATGTTCTCCCTGAGGAGTTTATGTTTAAGTCAGCTTGATTTGTCTTGGTCTGAGTTGCTGCTTTTACTCCCAGAACTCACAACAATCCAGGCCAAACTTTTACTGTAAAACAATATGGCTTCAGAATCAGGTGACTCAGATTAATTGATGTGAAAAATAAAAGCGCAAAAGTACCATGCAGTGTGCATAGACAGTATCTAAAGGCTTTAACTACTAAAAGTTTTATTTTTTAAATTTACAAAGTGTAAACTGACCTTACAGTAGCCTACTGAACAGCAAACAACTTAAAGGGGAGATTCATGTCCTGAGATTTTATTTACAATAATTTAGAAAAGAGAAATCAGCAAATCCTCACATCTGAGAGGGTAGAACCAGCTAATGTAGTCGATTAATTATCTGTCAATCAGCTAATCGATCGGCTGTGATGTTTTTTAATCAAGAGAAGTGTCAGTATATGCTCTTGTAAAAGTCTGTAAACAGCCAAGAACAGATAGTCTTGGTGAACATAACATCGTGCTAGATGTCGTTTGTTGGTGTTCTTGATGAAATCTGTCGGTTCTCGGACACCAGGTGAGGGTGTTCAGTCAGATTCACTCTCAGTAATAAAAAGAAAACAAAACTCCTCCAACAGGCCTGGTCTGGATTAAATGAAGCCGCCCCCTCTCATCCCTCATCTCATCCCTGCTCACTGGTCCAGTTCAGTAACACCTCCCACTGCTTAGCCTGAGAAACACACACACACACACACACACACACACAGCACCAGCATGCACAGATGTTTCTGGGTGTGTGGGGGTGTGTTTTCTCACATGGACACCTCTCTGGTGTGTGTTGCTGTTGAATTGCTGAGCTGGAGCTCCTGGTCGTCATGTGACCCGGATTCAACTCTGCTCACAGACGGGTTTCACCAAGTAGAAGCAAGTCAACACAGCCTTGTTTTTCTGCCATTCATTTCATTCCAGCTAAAAGGAAAATAAAAAATAAGTAAGAAGGTATTTCTTGTTGGTGTTCATCCTGTCATGTCACTACCTCTTTTTGGGAAAGGGAGGTGATGCTGTGTATGACTCAGTCAGAGGTGCCTGTGATTTGTCAGGTATTTTTATTCTTAAAGTGAGCAAACGGATACATGTGTTTCCTTAAGCCTGGACTTTGCATCTGAATCATCATGTGTTGCTGTCTGCTGATGTAGTCCTCGAATCCCCCTCATTACACATTCCCAGTTATTACTGAAACCTGTTTTATCTGGCAGATCTGTGGTGTTTGTATAAGCTGGAGGTTTTCAAAGACACTGCGTCCCAACAACAACAGATTGGCACCAATAACAGTATTCTGATTTATTTATTAGTAGTTCCTGTTTGCAATGTCCCCATGGATATCCAGACAACAATCACTGGAGTATTGTAATACTATAGAAAACTTATCTCCTCATCCTCCCACAGATGTCCTCCCTCTCCGTTGCTCGGGGGTTCACGTGTTTGTGAGAGACGAGAAGAGGTATGCTGTGTTGTTCCAGTCAGTGGTTCTGCCGTGTCATTACAACACCGTGTCCACCCAGACCCCTGTGGTGCAGTGGGTCTACAAGTCATACTGTAGGGACCGCACGCGGGATTCCTTCAACTTCGCCGACAGCCTGAGCAGAGGCCAGGGAGGAGGTGGGCTGACAGGTGGAACCAGAGGAGTCGCCGGAGGGTACGAGACGGGGATGACGGCGAGCTACCTCGACTGCGCTGACAGCAGCCGGACGGTCCGAACTGTGGCCTCCATCTCTGGCTCCTCGATCACACTGTCAGAGTACTACAAGAGCAGAGACATCTCCATCATCAACAGTAAGATTTATGTGGCACTATTTGCACCTCTGGTTCTGTTTCTTTGATGTCCATGCTAATAGTTATCTTGAATCTTTTCTTTACAAATGACTCAGCAGCTGTGTAGCAAAGTCAACACATTTCTTTTAGAGCAATGGGCTGAATTTTAGCTCACCGGCTTTAGATGGAATTTCACTTCATATGCTTGTAGTTTGCAGGTTGTGCTGGAGAATTATTGAGGCCAAATACTGTGGACATGTGATGGCTGAAACAGCCCGCCGTATAGGATTAGCTTTTCATTCAGTGTATCACAATGTGCTTTTTACAGAAGCAGAAAATGTAGTGAAATATACATTGGAAAAAACAACAAAGACATTGAAGGAAAAACAAATGACACAAATATAAATATAGAGCAGCATTATGAAACTAACTCGAAAGCATTTTCTTAGTTTTGGTTTAATGGTCTGTTTTTTGCAGTGTCCAGGTTACTTGGTGCATAAAAGAAAAAAGCAGCCTCTCTGGTTCTTTTGTAACATATTGATCCAAACTAATGTTCTTATTTCTTCTGCTGCCAAGCCTGGCAAGTTTTATGCAAGCCATAAATTGGAGCACTGGCCCAACCTGACCACACATTCCTGATTTAATGCCCAGCATGAAGTCAGTGAGATTCTGCACACATATAGTTGAGGGTGAGGCCTTACTGAAAACCTTGACAGCTTTCAGAACAATCAGGTTACATAACACAGAAATAATAAGTACATGACCACCAGTAGCGGTTGTTTGCCCACTCCACAGTTTGGCATGAGAAGAAAAGAGTTTGATATTAGATGTTAGAGATGGGGAGGTTGATTCTGAGGGATACAAAAAAGGCAAAACTCACCATCCATCCAGTCAGGAATTACTAATCAAGTGTGAAGTTTGGCTTGTACATAAATAGAAAGTGCCCCAAATACTGCAGTTAAAGCATGTGAGAAGTATAATAGATTACCATTGCCAAATGTATCTCAGTAACAATCCTAAAATGGAATTACACATTTAGACTCAATAAAAGCATTTAGATTGTAAAACTGAACTTTTTACACATGTTTACATATGATTTTCTAACACTACCTTCGTAGATATGTTGGTATTGGCTAGGGTTGCAGTGATATACTGGTTTTAAGGTATACCATGATATAGAAGTTAGCAGGTATCATACTGTGTCTGTTGCTATAATATTGAAAAAAATGCAACTGTAATAAAAATCTACCCTTTATTTTAGTTATGTTCAAAGGGGAGACTTTTTAAACATACTTTATTTAACAAAATGGTTTCAAGTTTTAATTATAGTAATAAAACGCTTGTTCGACCAAAAATAACCCCTCTGTTTTCATCTGGTCATTCTATCATATCGGCAAAATCTCATACCATTGCAGTATTGGCACCCAACAGTAAAACTGCATTTCCACCAAACACTTTTGGTATGGTACCTTTGGAACCAAAAGTAACCCTTCAAACATGGTACCTAGACCTTAGGTGTGCTTAGCATTTCCACCGCAAACAGTACCCTTGAATTGTTGTCACTCACCGCTCCGTCCAGCACTCACTGTATTTCCTCATCACCAGTAACACAGAGGGAAGTCTGCACCTCATTTATCGTCCACAGAACGGGGTTGCACGCAGACATTTTCAGGACAAAATAAACAGGCTGCGGTGAGAGTCTCTCTCCATGGGATTTTTAAAAAGTGGGTAGTGGGTTTGTGCATTTAGTTTTTAGTTTGTTATTTTGGGGGTTTAGTGTTGTCAGAGCCCGCAGGAATGATGCTCCGACACACTTTTTTTGTTCACATAACCCACCTGAAATTCATATATGTCTTTCAACACTTGAAGATTCATTCATAACTAAAAGTGTATGTCATAAAAAAATAAAGTGATAGTCAAAGTTGTCATATGGAATAAAGTTAAGGTTACACCTTAAAAGTCGTCGGCAGTTGGCCCGACAAATTAAATTATTTTTTCCTCCGACTACAGCTGTTGTGAGAGGCAGCAAAACATCCTTTATTTTATAGTCACAGTCTACTAATGAAACTCTGCACGGTATGAACAGTGGTTACACGATCCTCATAAACAGCCACAGCTCAGCGCTGAGCAGACTGACCGCGCTAGGTACCCCAACAGAGCGGTGACCAAAAATGGGGATGGGTATGGAACGGTTCCATTGGTAACATCCACAACTTTTCACACTGGAAACAGAAAAAAAGCTTACTGAACTGAACTGAACTGTACCTCTCAGTGGAAACAGGGCTTAAGTCAACTGATATGTAACACAAAATTGCTGAGAATGTGTGAAGAGTACTAAAATTTTACATGTACATGGTATTTTGAGCCCTGGCCTCAGTAATTCAATATTGGCAGTAACCTGTCAGATGCCTTGATGTTTAATCTCTGTGTTGCCTGTTTCTTGGCAACAGAAAGGGGAGCTCCTGCTTCCCCACATGGCCATGACTGTATTAAGTATTGCTATAATCACTTGGTCAATGCTTACTATTTATTTTATCAAGATATTGAGTTGATGTTAGTAGTTGTATCAGTTATACCCTTGTATGTGCTGCAGTCACAGGAATAACAATATTCTTGGTATCATCTGTTAAAACTGTGGGGTGTTCCCTGCTGTCATGAATGATTGTGAATTTGTAAAGCATTGATGCTACCCTTGCTACCCTTAAAAAAGACCCTTAGCTCAAGTAAACACAATTAAATCTCTCCTGCTAATAAAGGCAATAGTGTAACAAAATATTGCACCAGTTTACCGCAGTTTAGCCACAGGAGTTCATACTTATGTATGCATGATCCCCCTTATCCTCAGTCCTACATTATTGTCTTACTATCATGTCATTTGAGGATCATCTTAGGGACACTACTGTGCTTGTTGAAGACAGAGAGGTAGCCTTGTTTGCAGGCCTCAGATTTATGGAGCTCTAACTCTAGCCGAAGAATCAACCTTCTCTTCACCAGCCAGGGACACAGACAAAAGAAAGGGGTTTCATGCTGTCCTCTCATTCATCCTGACCTCTAACTCTGTCCCTCTGATGTACTTCAATGTCCCGCTTTTATTTCCCCTCTCTAGATCTCTCTCCACATCCCACCAACCACACACACATTTCTCTTGCTGTAAGGCTTTTCTTTCACTTCGTCTTTTCTCTTTTTCTGTCCCACTCCACCTCCTGTCCCGAGACAGGTCAGGACAGCAATGTTAAAATGGACAAAAAAAAAAGCGAGAGCTTGAACTATGTTGCCTTTAGAGACGCTCAGTCACCCAGACTCATGTAATCCTATTCAGGGTCACAGCAAGTCTGTCCCAGCATGCACTGGGCAGAGTGGGGGAGTTCTGTTAATCACATGGCTAACCCAGAAAACCCAACACACTGACTTGCGCTCATGGTCCTTTAAAAGTTCGCAGTCCAACTGACCTGCATGTCTTTGGAGTGTGTGACCCATACACTATAAAATTGTAGGCTGAATGAGTGGAGCTGTGTTAAAATAGAGACAGTAACAGTGGTGCAGGCTGGTCAGCCTGTCTCTCCTCTCCCTTCCTTGGCTAACAGGAAAAGGAAGTGAATTATACAACCCTATTTCCTGTCTGCTATGTTTTCATGTCTGACCACCTCACAATGGAGTCAGCAGCCCAGTTTTGTGTTATTTGTATATTGGATTCACAGGCAAAGCTATATTTAAACTGTTTTTAAGGCTTTTCCATGAAAATGACTAATGCAGTGTAATTTCATGCATTATTCTGACCAAGTTATCACAAATATACTTTGTGGCCAAAAGTATGTGGGCAACATTGTCCAGTTTTTCATCGCTAGTCTGGTTTTCTGAGTTTGCTGTGGAAGAACTTGACATCATCAAACCATGTGACCACTGACTGTATATAAAGATGGACAATGCATCTCCACTTCCTTCCACTGTACACAAATGAAGCCAAAATATCAGATATGGCTGCTGCCATCTTGTGCTGGTGATGTCATTTGGAGCTTGTTGGTGAAGATTCTCAGTCATCCAGGTCATGGTAATCTTAAGTGCTATAAAGTAGGAAATTGGACTTGCTTGAGTTTCTTGAAGATGTCCTTACAGAGTCTGACTCTGTAAGGGCACACACCTACACAGGGTTTAAAGCTTGCAACTCTGCACCAGTCCATCAGAACTGAAGAAACCTCTTGGATGAGAAACGTCTTGAAGAAACTCAAGCAAGTTCACTTGCTTACGATATAGCACTTAAGGTCATTTGAAGCTGGTGTGTGTACAGTAGCGATTCCTATGTTATAAAGTACCCACCATTTTACCAGTTGCAGGCAGCACCACTGATTGCAAGCACACCAATTGGCACACACAGCTGTCAATCATGACGTCAAACCTGCTTTCTATAGCATCAAACAACTAGTTATAATCAAACGTATCAAAAAATTAAAACTTAGAAATATATTTGACGTGTTATTTGGTTTTTAGTTTGGACCATGTCTCATCCGCTAACATAGAGGTGGTGGGGTTTATGACCTGAACTACAGTCAGCTACCAGGTAGCGATCAGGATGTTTTTGCTTCCCTTATGGGGAGCTGTCATGTCGTCCATCTTTATTATACAGTCTATGCCTGTGATTGTGAGCCAAGCCGTATCACCCAACACCAATGGTCGCCCTCACAAATGCTCTAGTAGCTGGGAGCAAATCCCTGCAGCCAGGTTCCAGAATCTTGTGGGAAATCTTCCCAGATAAGAAGAGTGGAGGCTGGTAAAGCAGCAGATAAATACCAGTGGTTTTGAAATGAGATGAACAATGATTTGGGTTTCCATATAATTTTTGACATTTAGTGTCTCCAAGTGTGTATCCGAAATTGTCAGGAGTCAGCACCAAAAAAATCCACCATTTGCATGCTTTTGAAAATGCATGTTGAAAGAAGAAAAATACATTTTTATATCTTTATCATGTTCATTTACCTCTTTGTCTTTGATGGTTTCTTTTCACCCCCAGCAGTGTAACAGTGAGGTCACGGCTCTATGGTTATGGTCTATTTTCAGGGGTACAGACAACAATTAATAAAGAGAATACAAGAAATGACATTATTGCATTTTTTTTCAAACGTGAAGCATTCATACAACAGAGGGGCAGTTTGGGAGGATTTTGTTTCACATCATCTTCTTCTTCTGCAGAGGCAGACTTGCGCATAGGAGAGGTCCAGTGGGGCGACAGTGGAGTTTACATCTGTAAAGTGATCATATCTGATGATCTAGAGGGACAGAATGAAGCCTCTGTGGAGCTGCTGGTTCTTGGTAAGGTCACACTTCTCTCCCAACATGCCTATTGTGCAGAAATAATTGTTTCCAGTTTTGGTTCAAGCTCTGGCAGATTCATCATTGTTAAACTTTGACCTGCAAATTTATAAGACTGACCAATTTAAACAATGTGTTATTGAGTCATTGATTCTAGTGGTGTCCAATCAACTTGTAGATGTAATCAGACTTCATGCTGCAGTATCTCTGACCAGCACTGTACAGTGTAAACTGTGTGTAATTAATCACAAAATAAATTGAATTTTTCTACGAGCTGCTGTTACATAACACGGCCTTATAAGCTGGCCTGTTCATCACAGACAGCACAACACAGGCTCATTAACGAGTAGATTTATAACAAACAGTGGCACTTCTTGGGCAGTCTGGCCTAATCTGTACTCATAGCAACTGCATTCACTCATACTGTACGTTGACAGGAAGGTTTTGAAACTCAGTTAGTGCAGAATAGTTACCGCTTGTTTGAGTGTTTGACATGCTCCTTAATTCTGTGTGTGTGTGTGCGTGTGTGATCAGTGTGTCCCATGTTGTTGAATATTCTGCAGTGTGTTGTATCTTTACAGTGACAATGTACTTGTCTGTGTTCAGTCACAAATGTTACCATAGCAACGGCTGAGAGGCTGTGTGGCTCTTGGTGCTCTAAATACTCCTCGGCTGAACTTTTGTTTGGTTGGCACTCAGAGACTTATGTGTATGCACAGAAGACACACACACACACACACAAGTACTGGACAATAAGCTTTTACAGTTTGCAAAGACTTGAGTGCACTCTGAATCTGGTGAAATGTTGGATACGACCCCATGGTGTTATGTTACAGATAAATGAAGATGACGTGATGTTCCCACATGAGTTGCCCTTTGCTGTCTCTAACGTGGCCTGAGAGACCCTTCATCTACCACAGTGCCAAAGCATTGTACTTCCTGGTTTTGGTGTAGCTAATATGGCATGTGAGGCACTTGTTGTGTTTCCATAACAACAGTTGGGGCCACTGCGACTGGCTCGGCGTCTTTTGTCTTTTTTAGAGCATGGCTTCACAGCAGAGAAGAGGGGGTAAGATTTAATGATGTGGAGGGGGGACAGCAGAGCACGGTGATACAAAAGATGGAGGGTGACACCATGTGAGACACTCGACTGATCGACTGAGAACTCAGTGGCTGATAAAAAGAAGGATTCTGCTTCTCTCTGTTCTCCCCTTTGACTTTCATTGTCCTCATCATAGCTCATTGAAACATTGAACACTGAAATATGCACGAGGCAGATAATTTGCCACGTTCAAAGTGTTCCTCAATACAAGAATCCATTGGAAATACGAAGCCTGAGTGGACATACTAATGTTAGCCCGTTTGCCAGCATAACATAGTGACAAGCCGTCCGTCTCCGTCCAAGCAGCATTTGAACATTGTTCAAAGTTTAGTCTGCACCGCGTTTGAGAGAGAGACTAAATAAGTAAGAGATATAAAGAAGAAATAACCACCACAACATTTTCATAGGCCTCCATGCTGCCTTCTACAGTTTATTTACTTGTTTTCTGGCCCATCCATGATGTCAAACAGTCTGCTGTAGAGCTGCGTACATAGCTCTGGTATACTGACAATGGGGAAAGGAGTTTATGCCTTTTTTCCCTGCATTTAAAAAACCTGCATACACGGACAAATGTGGTGGAAAAAGATAATAGTGGGATATTTTACTGTTTTAAAATGAACTTCTCATCACTCGCTGGTGGACAAATTATGTAATGGTGACATAACCTAAAATCTTATTTGATATTTCTGTAATTCAAGTTCTTTATTTTTAAGCCGACATATACACTGCTACCGATATATCTGCAATAACCGTAGTATTGTCCGATATATCAGAGTAGCTTTAATTAAATCCCAGATGGTGAATATGTGCGGATGAACATGAAAAAGGATAACCAATGAATGAATTATGAAGTATCAAACAAATGGTGTGGCCCATGATGAATGGATGAAGGAATATTATGTGAGCCACTCATCCATGAATTAATTAATTAGTTAAGTGGACCTTTTTATGCATCCATTGTCTAATGTAATGTTTGAATTTTTGTTTTAGAAAGAAAGAATTATTTATGTATTTATTTATTTATTTGGCCCAGAGTCATGGAAGTATGAAGAAAACCTCTGTAGCTCACCAGTACTCCTGACCTTTGAGGGCAAGCAGAAAGAGATTTTCACGATGGGGTTTAATGAAATATGATATATAATAGTACTAAACATTAAAGTAAATCAAATGCTGGGCTCCAGAGGCCATATGAAAAATGGGACAGCATTTGTGAAGTCATGTGAGACCTGGAAAGAGAATTAACAGAGAGAAAGAGAAAATAACTTGAAAATAGATATATTGTTTTAATATGCATGTGTGTGTGGATGTGCTTTACGGTTAACCTCTATAGGAGGAGTATACGTGGTAGTGTACAAACACCACCCGCCTGCCTGGATAGCCATATAGGGCAAAACAAGCAAAGTATGTGAGAGTAAATCTTCCTGAATCACTAGCCTGCAGGCAAATTCATGTGTGAGTAGGAACTCAACAAGTGAACTGGCCTCAACTGCTTGAGCAGGAGGGAGGCAGAAGACTAAACAATAGATACAGAACTGGAGGTGCCTGAAATGCACATAATGCTAAGTTCAGCACCTAGTTTGTTCACACGGTGCTTCAGCTGCTCTTTAATAAACGTAAGGTTTCTCTCTGTTTTCAAATCCAGCAAAGAACACGTTTAGCCTCCCAGAAAGATACTGAGGTATGTGCTCTGTCAGCCAGAGGCCAAGACAGTCCAGCCTGCTCTCTGTTTCTCTAGTCCTTCTTTCTCACGCCCGGCACTCCTCCTCTCTGCAATAATCACACAATCAACAGTACAACACCAGTATCTGTTCACATCACTCTCACCTGCTCACTTTTCAAAAAGCTTCAACTTACATACTCACATATACAGTGTGCACCCAAGCAAAACACACAATACATTTTAGTTCCAGCTTGTGTGACACGCTGCCCCCTTATCTATGATGCTAATGTTTCATTTAGACATCTGCTGACCTTGTGTGGAGTCCCTTAAAGCTGTGTTAACAGACAAAAATGAAAGGAGTAAGACATGAAGCAAGATAAGCAGAACAACAACTGGCAGGTGATGATGGTTTTCAAGGGCTTTGGTTAATTCGGGTGTTCAGGTTTCGCCTTTCTTTCCCTGGAACACATATTTATGTGTAGAAGCAATCAGTCTCACCCTCCACCAAAATTTATGTAGCTGTAGTTAAATGGTCTTTATATGGCACTCAGTTAATATAGCAGCAAATAACTTTGCTTTGTAAAGATATAGTGGAGTTATGGTGTCCTGAAAGGAGAATGAAGCCACTCTACCTCTGTGTGTGTTGTAATTTGAGCTTCTCTGTTGTTTGTTATGATTGACAACCCAGCTATGCGTGCATGCTTGTGCGTGTGTATCCCACTGTCTAGGTAATCACTGCTGCTCTGCACTGCACTCATTCGGTGGTTACTGCTGATATTGGGATGACAGCATAGCAGAAGCGTAGCATCAACCTTTCATTTACCCTCTGATTATCACTGTTAGTTCTGTTAGGACTGTTGCCATTGTTAGCACTGTTTGCACTGTTAGTTACGTCAGCCACCTCCATGGTGAGAGTCATGTACAGTCAGCTTGAATCAGACTCTGAATCAAAGACGTCTGTCCCCCAAGTGCAGTTTGTTTGGGCAGGTGTGAACACAGCAATCGCACTGGGGTGCGCACCAAAACAACCAGACTGAGACCTTCTTGAAGAGGTGGTCTAGGTCCGATTACAAACAAACTCTGGTTCGGTTCATTTGCGGTGTTCTGACTGCGATCCAACTGTTCATGCTTGTTTGGGTAAAACATGAGCATGTTACAGTCCTGGAGGATTATTAATGTGCACCTCCTCCTGTACTGCCTTAATATGCACATTCAGCACATCCAGTGCATCAAAACATTGTTTTCTAGTTGGAGCCGCACCTCGTTTTCAAACTGTATGGTTTGACTAAAATGAACAATGACAGCAATATAGTCCACGATGACCAGCGCTAAAATCAACCTGCGTAGCTGTCCCTCCATTGTGACATTAGAAAGTGTCACATATATCTTGCAAGTGTACTCTTCTTCAACGTTTTGTTTACTTCCTGGATTTTTCCCCGCATGGAAATTCTGACCAATCAAGAGCAGCTTTCTCTCGCAAGGCATTTTATCTGGTCTGCTTGTAAATGCTGCCGTGAGAACACGAACCGACTCTAGGCAATTATACAACTTTGTAAAAAAAAAAAAAAAAAAAAAAAAAGAGTTCCTGATTCAGACCAAAGCAAGACAACTGTAGGTCTCAAAGCACCCGGATTGTCATATAAAGCTCCTTTAAAAGAAAAGCAACCAGTGAAAGTCACTGTTCCTAGCCAAGAAAAATGCCCACTCAGAGCTCCCTGTAAAACTGCAACTTGACATTTTTAAATCTTTGTTAAAATTATTTGTTCCTCATATTTAGGTAGCAATTTCTGTAGTAAGTAATTATTAATAAGTAATAATAAGTAAGTAATTTATTTCAGATTGTGGACAGAAAAGGCACATGTTTCAACATTATGAAAGAGCACATTTAGCGAGGTGACGTGCAATTTCAGCTGTTAATTCCAAATTAAATTAGTGGGATGATTTGTGAAATTTGGGAAAGAGAGCTTATTATTGTGAGAAACATAACCTTATGGTGCTCCAGGCCTCATCCAGGATCAACTACTCTTCACCGGACAGACAGCAGAGAGACAAACACAGAGAAACAGTCTTAGGAAGAAAACATTTCTCTGCAGTCTGTTTGCTGACTCTGGATGTGAGGAATGTTCCCACCTGTGATTTTTGCAGCTCTGCATGTAACATTACTCACAGCTCCTGCCTGTTTGTCATGTTGTCTTCATGAGAATGATTCATGTTCCAGTCGGTCTTCTTACCAGACAGATAACCTCACAGCTTTTGATTCCAGAAATCAGATGATCAGTCTGTTTATCAGTTGCTCTGATAGGGAGACTTTCTGGAACAAGACCAGAATGTCCTCTGGTGCATGCCGCTGTTGACCTGCCAACTCTCTTTATCTTCCTCTGCACCTCTTTCTGGTTTTGTCTTCCTTCTCTCGTCATGCATGCTGCTGCAAACTTTCTTTGAATCAATCATTTATATCAACTCCATTCCCCTCTCCTCTTCTCCTCTCCTGTTGCCACCTCTGCTCTGTCTCTCTCCAGGTTTCTCAGGTGTGCCTGAAGATCTCCTGCCAGACTTTGATTTGAAGATTATGCCAGGTAGGGGCATAATGTATTCTCCCCCCTCACCTGGTTGCTTCCATTCATACTAACCCTACTTACTGCTCTAACCATGCGTGTAGGAACCATTTGGATGGTGGTGGTCACTGGGAGAAGAAATTTAGAAGAAGAGGCTCTGAGACTTGGTGCATGACTTGATCCAATTATGAGAGGCAAACAAGACTTTTCCACCATGTTTGATGGTTCATATGCTAACAGCTCTGATACAGTTTACCTATATTCCTCTCACACCAGCAAATAAAACGAGTGTTTGTGTTTCAGCAATAATGAGGCTTCGACAGAGTTAGTCTCACAGCTGTATTTAGCCCAGCAGACTGATCCACACCCGTCAGATAATGACCTGGTCATCACTCCCTCTAAGATGGAAAACAGCCATTATGGTCATTATAGTTATTTATGGTTGTGGTTAGCATGTCATCACACATCATTTGGACACTACCCAGTAAAAAAACACAGTGATGAAGAGGTAGGGAAGATTGTTTATGTCACATAAAATTCCTGTCATTCATATTTAATTATCACAGAGTTTGTGGCGAGGTGATAAATGAATGGATGGATTGTGTGGAAGTAGCTCCCAAAGAGACATGGTATGATTCACTCTGGAGGCTTATCTCTGGTGTTAGTGTTGCATCAGTACGTGTTGTCCATGTCGACTCCCACAGAGCTGTGCAATGTCTAACATGTACTTTGTTAGCTACAATCTTTGTGTGTGTGTTTGAGGATGGGGGAGGGCGTAATGGTTGCAAATGAGATCCCATTACAAGCTAATGTGTTGTCACAGCCAGATTTTCAGTATCATCCAGAGCAGCGTAAACTGTCCCTTTCCTTCCTGTAGCAAAATCTGGCTTCCTGCGTGTTTGTGTGTGTGTGTGTGTGTGTGTGTGTGTGTGTGTGTGTTTGTGTGTGTGTGTGTTTCTCAGGCTAAGCAGTGGGAGGTGTTACTGAACTGGACCAGTGAGCATTGTGTGTAGACAATGTTGTCGTTGGTTTTACATTGTTCAATGTTAGCCTATCTGCCCTCTCCTTCCTTTTCCTTTGCTTTGTCCCTGTAGACAGATACATGTAGTTTATCTGTTGTACTTGCTTTATCACTCACTTCAGCTCTCTAATACTCCAACACTGTGTGTAAAATCTTATGATTTTTTTTAATGTAATTCATTTTCTGATTAAGATTTAATTTGTTTTGATTTTTACATTCTGAGGAAAACAATCACTTCCTGGAAAACAGCGAAAGTAAATAAAAACTCCCAATAATAAAAGACACACTTTTCAACAATCCGGCCTTCTCTAAATGAGCTGGTGTCACACAGCTTTACAGGAATGCTTCCTCGCAATACATCACATTAAGGAAGAATTTATAAGCCATCAGCCTTTCAAGCAGCTTACATGCATGTATTGAAAAATAGGTTCAAAACATAGCATGTAAAAATAATGGACGTAGATACCTTGAAGTCACCCATTGGTTTGTGGACTCCTGTTTTGAAGCCTCGAGTTTGGCATTTCAATTATAGCTGTCAAGTTTTTTGGAGCCAGAAGTGACCATATTTGGGTGAGAGGCTAGTGCTGTGGAGAAGCGAGGGGTGGATCTCACTGAGAAGTCAAAGACACTATTGACAGCCTGTTGTCCGAAGTCGCTTGCCGCTAAATATGCATGACTTTAAGCATTGATAGAATGTAAATGGATAAGTTATAAAAAAAATTCACCTCCCGTACAGTTGTCATGAAGGGGGGAATTAGCTATAGAGACCAAAACTGATTTTTGTACCAGGCTCTAAACATGTTTATTTCTGCTGTAAATTTGGGCATTTTAACATTGAGGTCTATGGGGATTGACTTGCTTTAGAGGCCAGCCTCAAGTGGCCATTCAAAGAACTGCAGTTTTTGGCACTATTGTGTTGGCTTCATTTTTCAGCTCCAGAGGCTGCCGCTGGGTTCAACCTAGGATTTGGCAATATATCGATATTACTTCTATATTGTGATGTAAGCCAAGATATGTTAGATTTTGGATATCATAGTATTGTTAGTGCTGTTTTTCCTTTGTTTTAAAGGCAGCATTACAGCAAAGTGATGCAAAACTTACCAGACTGTTCTCGCTATTATTTGCCTTAACCTTCTTAGTCATTAGGTCTTGGGGAGTATTACTGAAATCTGTAAAATTGCCGAAAGTGATAGCACTTCAGTCAGTGCCAGTTGGGGCTCAAGACTAAAATGAAAAAAAAAGTGGAGTGAAAGAGGTGAGCTTACAAGCCCTCTGCAGCCTGCTCGTCATGTCAGCTTGAAGCCAGCGACTTTGGGTTTACAATGTAGACAAAAGTAAAAGATATTTTGATCCTTTTTTTAAACTGTCTATTGTGACTTTGACCGTGTTAGGAGTGCAATGCTAAATAAGTAGATTACTCAATAGCAAACATCCATTTTTAGTATTGTAGAACACACAGTGATCTGATTAAACCAAACAGTTTCTCTTCAGTACGTGTTAGCACTTATATAAATACAGTATTATCTATTGTATATACTTCCAGAGTGGGTGTTTGTGGCAGCTGTGGCGCTGGGCAGTGTCTTATTCCTGCTGCTGGTTGGGATTTGTTGGTGCCAGTGTTGTCCTCACTCCTGCTGCTGCTACGTCAGCTGCTGGTGCTGCCCGGACACATGCTGCTGCCCAAGACACTGTGAGTATAAACAAACACACACACACTCACACACACAGAGGTGTAAAGTCAATGCCCAGAATATTGTCTGATGATTAATTAAAAGTATGTTTGTCTGTAAAGTCTGACTGGGTTGTGTGTTGTTTTTGTAGTGTATGAGGCAGGTAAGGGCATAAAGACAGGCTCCTCCACCCCTCAAACACCTGCCTACCCTCCATACTTTGTGACTGGTGTCCCAACGATGGTCCCCATCGCTCCACCATCCCTGGTGGACAAGATGTCCACTGTCCCCCCTTCGGATGGCAGCATACTCACAGCAGGTGAGGTCTTTATTAACGAGTGAATCTGTGTTTTTAGAATTATTGAAAGACCATATCAGTGGGTTTTTTTGTTTTCTTTAAGCCTCTAGAGTTTATTCTGAACTTTGAAATATTGTATTTTCATAATCTCCAAGATTAACTTCATTTTAAAAATGCAGTCTTTCTCTTAGGCATTAACGAACTGCATGCCAAAAAAGTTCAATGAGGAACGCAATTGTTTCTTTTGGTTTCTATTTTATATTGTCAGTGTTGTAAGTTGTTGTGTTTGTTCTCATGTTACTGTATGTTAACTATCTTACTCTGCAATTTTGGCCAGAAACAATAGCAATAAAATGAAATATTGAAATAAACAACAAGCAAAAGTACTGGTATGGTTCTCAATCAACAGAGAACAAACACACAAAGACAAACATTAGTTGTCCATGCTGACGGTTCAAGTGTGTATCTGCAGTGCCGATGCATTCTGTAGGGGTCCCCTACCGCGTGCCTTCACCTCAAGATCAGGAGTCTCTCAGGGTGCTACAGTATGTAGAGAAACAGCTGGCTCACTTCAACCCTGCAAGGTCCAACAGCCACCAGTGTAAGCTCCGTAAAATCCTCCTGTGGATTTACTCTCTGAAAATGCTGTCAGGATCTTCTGTAGCATGTTGATGCACTCAATAGACAATGCATGCTTCACTATCTCTACTGTCAGTAGGGTCTTTTTGGCTTTTATCCTCTTGAGCTTGTCTTGGCATGCTTCTCTGCACAAGCATTCTGCGTATTGAATTTCCTGTAGTTCAGATGTGCATAGCAGCAGGTGTGCATGCCTTCTCACCTCACCTCACAATTCTCACTTAAACACTGATTGCTTGCAGATCTCGGCTCTTTTTCATTCTGCAGTGTCTTTGTTTCTTTAAAATTCTGTGCTTCCTTGATGGGGAGTTTTCTGTTTGATTGTTCATCTGTTGTTCGGTCATTCTTTTATTTATCAATTCCTTCATTTTGACCTGTCCAGCCTGTAGCCTGTCCGAGCTGAGCTCCCTCCACGAGGGAGACTCCGGCTTCCGCCAAACATTCAGAAACGTCCAGAAGAAAGCTCTGCCCGCCATCCCTGACCACGACCCTCAGGCTGAGCCCCAACGCTCACGTGACAACCGCAGCCCAGAGCCGCAGCGTTACCGTGACAAACCCCCTTCGCCCCAACGATATCGCGACGACAACGACTCAGAGTCCCGCCGCTGCCAGGAAGAGCCTCTTCCTCCGCGACGGTATAGCGACGACCCTTCATCCTCCTCACCGTCGCGCAGGCCTGGTCGAAGTCAACGGCAACAGAATCACAGTGACGAGGACAACCACAGCAGGTACAGATACTCGTCTGTGTATCCTGACGGTGCAGTGAGAGGACAGACAAAGCACAGTTATTACTTGCACTTGTAACCTGTCAAATATTCAGTAGTGACAAACAACTATTTTAGACTTTTAGAGTCAGTTTTGAATTGGACTTTGGGAGGGATTATTTTGAGTGAAGTCTTTGTTCGGCACAAAAGACGATTAGTAACCAGGTTACCTGTGTACATGGCCAAGAAATTCCCCAGGAGAACTCTAATAGAGAAAATACAGTCTCTCTAATCCCCTACCTGAAAGCGGAAATGGGTTTTCCCAAATACAGTAAATGATGTTTAAGCAATCAGCTTACCCAACAAAGCTAGCTGTAATCCATTTACAGAAGTGTGTTAAATCACAGCTACTTATAAATCCATTCAAAGATACACAGTACTCATACTATTGTTGACCGCATGATCTCATGATACCTTCCTCTCCCTGTTGGTCCTCTCTCGACCTCCTGTTGTGTTTTGCAGGTGGAACCCTCGTTCAGAACATCTGCACAGAAAGACATACCGTACTGCTGGACGAACCGGCTCACTGGATGAGTTGGAGGAGTTTGCTGCTTCTTACAAACAGAGAGGAGGCAGAGGGCAAGTGAAAAGGGAAGAAGACAGAGGAGAATACGAGATGGATTTTCTGGAGTTTGGTCGCTATCCCTCCTACCGTAATGGTCCACCTCAGCATTACTACAATCATGAAAATGAGCTGGGAGACAGCAGCGACCGCGAAGATCATCCCAGACGAAACAAGAAAAACGAACATGACATAAGCCCACTTCAGTCACCCAAAAAGAGGAGGGGCACGTGGGATAGCGAGCGCCCCGCGCCACCTCCACCCAGAGTCAGTCCACCATCAACCTCTTCTCAAGAGAAGGACTACGATGGCACATTCCTGAACAGCCTGCTGGAGCGTAAGGCTAAGTTGCGAGGGGTCAGCCAGGGGAAGACTGGGGCCCGGGGTGAGGAGGATTCGGACACACCCTCAAAGGGCAGCTCAAAAAAGAGCAGCGGGGAATCTAGTCGGCACTGCAGCCGCTCGCCCAGTAACAGGCCTGAGGCAGATTCACTGCCTCCTTACTCAGACACAGAGCGAAGCAGAACTGACAGGCCATCTCCACGGCCGCTCCCAGCAAACAGTCGCCCCTCTCAACCTCCTGTTTATTCCCTGCCGGGGCGCAGAGAGGAGCCCAGAGACAAGACGCGGAAAGTGGTAAGTTACATTTAAGACTATACCTTATTGGTAGGCTTGAATGCTGGCAATGCTACACTGCAGATCAACAGCAGTGAGTAGAGCTAGTAATATTGCATCTTTTATAGTTATTGAAAACTAGTTACCGGTGTATAATTGATGAAAATGTTAACACTAGGCTAACGACGGAGTTTTTAACACTCAATGTTGTATTTTCCTGCTTTTAGGGAGTCTACTAGGGCATTTCCACTGAGGGAACCCAGAACTTTTTCAGTTTTTTTTTTGGAGGAACCAGGGATTAAAGTTAGTTTCTGTACATAGCTCCAAGTGGCAAAAAGTCCCAATGTTGGGGGTAGAAAAGATTATATATTTAAAACCCTGGAAAATTAGCGTATGTCACATCATCTTCCCCACATGGGATCCAAGCTCTATGGTTTAGAAACTCTGACTTACAGTGTAAAAAAAAATGTAGGACTACAGTAGGCTAAGTGTTGTTGTTGTACCTTTGACAGGTCAGGTTCAGACGCTACTACAATGAAAACTAGGTAGAATACTTTGTTCTGTATACAACTACTCTCCATAACAATCATAACTGGTTGTCTCCTCCCTGACAAACCTGGGACAATGATGTATTCAGCATCAAAGACTAAATTTTGTCGCAAAACGGAGCTTTCAGGGGCTTCAATCAAATTTTTATATAATTTGGAAAATGTTGTAATGCAGTTTGTCCCAGGTTCTCCATAATAACCCTGTTTGTCTAATGCTTACTGTCTTGTTACTCTCTAATTCCACTGAAAAAGATACGTGTTCATATTTTGGTGTAAACTCTCTGCTCCTGTTCCGATCACTTACACTTTTTTATCCTTACCAGGGCACTCTTCTCAGCCGGGACTCCCTCATCGTCTGAGCAACTGAAAGCCACGCACTAGTATTTACACTCTACAAGAGCCGCCGATGAAAGATGAGAATTGACTTTGATTGCAAAAATATACAACTGAGTGTAAAGGAAAGCTGAATCAGCACGGGTGAATGACGAAACAGACGACAGACACTTTTACTACGGAGACTGTCACTGGGGTTTCTGCCTGTGACGTCGCTGAACGATGAAGTCATCACTTTTCCGTTTCTGTCTCCGGCTGCCTCATATATATCTCAGCTGGACTAACACTGAACTAATGTGGGCTGGGTGTATGACCTGGACTGTCCCTCCCAGCAGGACGCCGTTCGTCTTCCCCCTCATCCCTTTCAGAGAAGACTTGCTTTACACTTCCAGCACAATGAGTGCATTCATTTCCATTTGATGAGGTATCTGCTTTAAATAAGCACAGTTGTAGAAAAGGACGTATATAACAACAGCATTATTGTAAAGGACAGACTGTAGCTACAGCTGAATGACAATACACACCCTGTGTCATTCAGTAACACATTCAGGGACTAAAGCACCTAATGCAGACGGCTTCTATGAGATTTTAATGCTAACTAAAGCTTGAAGTAGTAACCAACAGTAAGAAATGATAATATCATGTGTATATAGAGAGGAGGTGGACAAAATAATGTATACATCTCGTGGAAAAGGACTTTTAAAGCTACATTAAGCTAAAGCGGGACTGGGCTTATAAACGCCGTGGTCGGTCGAGCGTTGGAGTTTCCCAAGTGGCTGTTGCTCTTTCAAACTGAGTTGTCGTGAACAGTCCTTAATTACTGACTTAAACATAGCTTAACCATGTCATGAGATATCAGCCCAGTTGCCAGAAGTAAATGTTGGCAAAGTAATATATACGCTGACTTGGTCATCAGAAGGGGGAGGGGACGGTGGGTGGCATGGCACCCAGGTGAGACACCTGTCAAGCTCCAGAGACCTGCAAACAACAAAAGTGGTTGTGTTTTAGTGAGTCATTGCTGTGTTTCCAACGACTTTTTAGCCTCCAAATGTGGGTGTTTTGTAGCAACCTGTTGATTGTGATAGTGCCCCAAAAGGAGGTTGTTTTTTACCAAGACATCGCTGCTTCTCCTGCCAGGATTGTGCCCCCATTTTAAGCCAAAGCATGATGTTTTCCTAACCATAACCAGTGGGTTTCTGTGCCTAAACATAACCACACATTAGCCACAGTGTTGTTGAAAGGTAAAGTTTCAAAGTATTCGCAACATAATAACATGCAAATGTAAAGTATCCATGGTTTGCAGAAACATACAATGCCATCATTTTTTCTGGCAATTGGGTTGGTGGTATACTACTTCACATTACACACATTACAAAAAGAATATTCCTGGGGCCACTACACAAAAGTGCAGATGAACATTTGATATCCAGGAATTCACATTACAGACCCTACTGACTATCAATCTAACAATTCGGCCACAATTTGGCACACTGAAAATTCACAGTCCAGCCGTATGCAAGGTTTGAACTAATATGTTATTGACAGTGGATCAATAATGTGAGAGTGGTTACTTATACTGACAAAGTATCACCAAACTCTGCGGTACCTCTCAACAATAATAAGCGTTGTAGCATCTTTCAGCTCATTGTTTTGGTTTTGTTGCCCGCAACTATACGGCTTTGGTTCCCTCCCACTGCTCTCATCAGTCTTGTTTTCAGCAGCAGCTGTTTTTAGTTTTAATAAAAAGGTCTAAAAACTGGCTTTACACCACCTGCTCAGCACCACAGACAAAGTCAAAGACTAGCTGGTGAACATAGTGGAGCTCTTGGCAGCTACTTCCCTCAGGAGTTGTTGGGAGAGCAAATCGGAGCTGATATGAGAGTGAATATTGGACTAATAATCGTCGAGTGGACACAGACAGGACTCACAATGAATGCTTATGTTGCTCTGTATTTCCTGGATATCGAAATAAACAACTGTTTGCTGAAACATTTGCCATACCAGCTTTATAACATGGTAATATCCCAGTGTGTTTACAGCTTCTACTGCTGCCCCCATCTGGCCAAAAAATGTACAGCAACTTAGTCGTACATGCAAATGAGCAGGTTGAAAGCCATGTAGCAAAATTTATCAGGCAGAGAAGAAGTCTGATTTTATTAATGTATATTTTAAAGGTTTTTAAGGCAACTTAAGATGAAAACAGAATTTAAATAATGTGTGCCCACACTGCAGGAGTGCCTGTCAGAAATGTATTTGATAGGTCAGTCAATCGGAAAGTCACAGTAACATACAGTATGCACCAAACACAGAAAGCTACATGTGGTAAACTAATACTGCAGTCTGATCTCTGACCTAACATGACCCACAGTTCTGCAGCAGTTGCAGTGGTGATTTAGTTACTCATAAGTTACGTTCCGTATCCATGAAGCAATTACTTTTGTCTCCTCCCTGTATGTCTGTCCATCTTCTATTAAAACATGTTAGTTTGCACAGATTAATGATTTTCCAAGGGACTAAAACCTGATGAAATGTTGTATTTTTTCTGTAAACCTTTAAAGTATTAAGCTGCCACTTGCCTTTAAAAGATTTTTGTACTACAGGATGACATTTTTATATGTAAACTGGGTCTATTTATGTGCGTGGTGTGATATGATCAATGTAATTAGTAAATGATTATGTTTGTTTAAGCTCTCCAGTGTGAGTGTGTACATAAACTGAAGTGCCTTCAATCTGATAACTGCAGTTCAGCCTTTTCTAATCACTGCTGAGTCAACGGCTAAACCAACATCTTCATATGTTATCAATAGGCACACACATATATGTACAAAGCACACATTAGACGACTGATATATTAATTATTTGCACTAACACCACACCAAACTGTTTCATTTTTGCATGTCAAGAGGCTCGTCTTGAGAAAATCCTAATGTCAGTGTTTGAGTTTACTTCCATTGTGTTTTCTGCTGTCTGGTACTGACAACTGTGCGTGCATGCATGTGTGTGTGTCTGTGTGTGTGTGTGTGTGTGTGTGTGTGTGTGTGAGATGACTCGTTACTTTTCTGTAAAGGAGACAATGTGTAACTGAGTATGACTCATGTCTTTGTTCATTGTTGTAACCACAGACTGCCTGTCTCTACGACACAGCTGTGTCAAAACTCACATGCCAGTTCTGCCGGCTCGACCACAGATATCTGCGTCGCTGTTTGTTTTGCCATCCACATAAAATATTTGTTACAACACTTCTGTCCATACAGTATTTATTTATCGGCATGACACACGAACATAGAGACCAGAAGTGTTCATCTTTCCATCATCTCAACAAAGAAGCTGAGCAGGAGTAATGAAACACGGGTTGTGTTTCAGCTTATTGGTCTTTATATTTAGGATGTTTTAGATTGATTAGGCTCAAGATATTTATTCAGCTGTACCTGAGTATAATTCAGATACAGTTGTACTTGAATATTTAGTGTTTTCTGCAACTTTATACTTTTTCGAGAGTTATATTTACTAGTTACTTAACTTCCCAACAGTATATAAACTAGCTAAAGGTCCAGTGTGTAGGATTTAGAGGCATATAATTTTCATAGGTATGTTTTTATTAGTGTATAATCACCTGAAAATAAGTATCGTGTTTTTGTTACCGTAGAATGAGCCTCTTATATCTACATATGAAGCAGGTCCTCTCTCACAGAGTCTTATAAGTTGTTCTACAGTAGCCCACAAAGGACAAACAAACCACTGGATCTGGATAGTGTCAGTGTTTGCCTGTATGCCACCATAGTTTTTTCACCTGCGTGGCTCATGGGAAAGTTTCAATTATGCAACCTTGTCACTAGATGCCTCTATATCCTACACACTGGACCTTTAAAATTGGCTCTACCTTCAGCATTCATTCATTTTCCATACCGCTTATCCTGTTAAGGGTCGTGGGGGGGCTGGAGCCTATCCCAGGTGAGATTGGGCGGGATGCGGGGCACAGGTTGGGCTAACACATGGAGATACACAACCATTCATGCCTGGACTGTAGGAGGAAGCCGGAGTACCTGGAGAAAACCCACGCTGTGTCGGAGAGAACACACAGAAGGGTGCCCCCGCCCCGGGTTCGAGCTCCAAACCCAGGGGTCGAACCAGGAACCCTCCTGCTGTGAGGCGACAATGCTAACCACTGCACCACTCTGCCACATAATAAAAGAGTAGTAATAACAATCTAGTGATGTCATACCCTGGGGCCATTTTCTACATAAGCACTTTTACTTTTGATACAGCGAGCAAAGCTTTTAAGTGGTTTGTCATTATATAAATCCCAAATAAACAACATGGGAGATGACGTGGTGTTTTACCTGACAACATTCACTGATGATAGCGAAGACAAAGGAGCAGAAGCGCTGCTGGGTCTTAGCAGTAGTCACATACAGGTGCAATCCTCTCCCTCCTTTCTATTGGTGTATCACTTCCTTCCTCTCACTCATTAGTGTAACCTAACACAGGTGTGTGAGCTACAGCAGACAATGAGCCTGATGAGGACCTGTGTTGCAACATGTCGGCCTTTTTAATCAGTACTACCATGTAAAATAAAGGCATTTTAATTTTGTGTGCCTTGGATTGTTTTTGAAGGAGACTTGCATTTTATATTGTTTGAGAGTATACTTCACTCATTCAACGAGCTCTTCACACGATGAAACTTCTGTGCTTGAGTCCTACTTGAGAAAGGACTTGAATGCAGGATTTACTTTTACAATGTGATGATTAGATGATGAAACACTGCTGGAGGGATTATTTTCATAACATTCACAATTAATCACTTTTTGTTTATGTGTTTCCTGTCCGTCATCTGAGCTGCCGCACTGTATGTTTGTGATGGGAGGGATCGGTTAGGACACTGACCACTCAGCTTGAGAGTATGTCAGGAATGTTGTCGAGCAACTCCCTCCTGGGCTTTACAGAGGCATCAGCAGTGAAATATGACATCACCATGCACCGTAGAATAAAAGGTTTGTTTTCATATGATTCCCTCACTGGTTCAGAGTGGACGGGGCTCATTTTGTGCACCAATCAGAACTGCTTAGTCAAATCTGATCAAACCACACACACACACAGTGCTGAAGAAGCAGATGAGCTGAAGCTTTAGGTGTATGACTTCCAATAGATAACACATCATGGTGTTCATTATCTTAGTTATACATTTATAAGGAACTACTGTCTTTCTAAGGAACTACACTCCGTAAACCGTCAGCTTAGACTTACATTACGTGTAGGTATCACTAGGTTATATGTGACATTAGTATAGAGTATATTTTGCTATTTAGTTGAGTGATGACAAAACAACTCTGAATATGTCACATAAAACACTTTAAAGTAACACCAGACTGTTTCTGCTGCTGAAGTAAAGAGTGGAAAAGTAGCCTTGTTAATGACTGATGAGGTTTGTCTGATCCAAATGTGGCAGAGATAGAATCAGAGTGTAAAGTGGCAACACTGTCACTGTGGACTAAAATAAAATCCTGCTAAAATCATGTGTTTAATGTGTAAACGATCTGTGTTTGTCAGAAGCTCTGTTTTAAAACCAGTGGAAGTAGAGCCCTGAAACAATGAAATGATTCTACTGACCTCTAACAATATATAGGCTGTTCTTTTGTTTTTTGTTTTTACCTCAGACTCTGGACTTCATTCATGGATACTTTGGTCTCCAGTGATCTGAGGCTGTGATTCAATACCCTGAAGTTAAGCTGCTCCCGATCAGGTTAACTGTTCAGTATCAGTTGCCATGGTGATTTATCCTGATAAAAAGAGAACCAGAAGAGAGTTAACCCTGAAGTTACCTCACTAACTCCAAATCCTGCTTCATAGTACAGGCCTTGAGTCATGATCTCTAGTTCCATTATATTTAAGAGGCACACATCTCTACAGCCGATATCTCCAACACTCTAACTCACACAAAACAATACAGACTGATAAATAGCACTAGAGGCAAGAGGGGAAATCTATATTTTTGATCTTGAAGTGAACTGTCCCTTTAAGTAAGTAGCAATATCACGGTGTATAAATGCCACGGGGATGAGTACCCCCAGTATATAACTGGATTATTGATGCATTCATGTGTCAGCATCACTTTAATGTTGCAGCAAAAGGTGGGGCTAGTCTTTAGTTTATATATTACTCTACAATTATACATCATGATTTATTAATTGATAATATTTTGTGTTCGTAATCTGACTCTGCAAAGTGATTTGCAACTATAGCTGTCACATAATTGTAGAGTAAAAAGTATATTATTTGAAATAAAAAGTAGCGTAAAACAGAATTACTCAAGTCAAGTGCAAGCACCTCGTGTTCTTTTACCTTCCACTGTGCACTGTTTAAATCAGAGCTGCCATTTCACTGCACTTCATTATAGATTAAGCTGTGAAAAAGTTATATTAATTACATTTTATAAAATAAAAGTAGAGTGTGTTAAAACCAACTTCTTTATTACTTGTGTGCTGGTGTTTTAGTGACAGTTGTTTTTAGTGTGAAATGTCCTGTCAGTGCTCCTGATATGGCTCCAGGCAGATAAAGTAGCTGCAGTGGATTTGGATTTAAATTAACTGGCAAATTGCTCACAAGCCGACATCTTCTCAGTGTTTACATTTCTACTGTATAAAATCAGATGCATAACAATGGTGCACTGGTGTCTGCACTGTAAGGCCTCGGCAGGACAACAGGATATAAGGGAGAATGAGTAGGAAACACAGAGTGGATCTTGGCAGGAGCTTCCAGGAAAATAAAAGAGCTCTGAAGGGCTGCAGGTGCAGAGTGGGTGTGCTCAGAGGGAAACAGTCTGACAGTCTGAAGGACTCAGGAGACACTTCAGCTCAACACACTGCAGTAGTCTCATTCATATGCAGATTAACCCCCAGTTTTATAAGTAAAGGAATATACTTTTAAAAAGCTGCTTTCCTGTAGGGAATAAACAGCTCGGTTTTATAGTGTAAACTGTGGAGAAATAAAGACTCAAACTGGAAACACACAATAATGAAGCTCAGATAAAAATAAAGTTTAGGCTGACACCTAGTGGCTGTAGTTTAGAACTACACCCTTGTGTTGAATGAATGCATGAAACCAAACTAACACTGTCTGCTGTGTCTGATCTCAACAAAGGAACATAATCAACAGGGTATTTTGCTTTTTTTTTTTAAATCATTTTATCTTGTTTTGTATCATGTGTTTTAGATTTAAAAAATTAAAAGAGTATGTGGAAAAAATGTGGGCACTATTATAGATCATAAACTTTGTTGTAAACCACACATAGAACATATGAAATGGAAACTATCTGAATAATTGTTGTTTTATAAGACAAGGGAGTTGTTACATACAAAATGTTTGTATATATTGTGTTGTTCACTTGTAATGCCGTACATGTCCCACTGTGCTGAGCTCTGGGGACATGTACATGTAAAACAAATATAGATGTTTTAAACATCAGAAAAGAGCCCTCAGAATAACACTTGTGATTACACTGTGTATTTAAAAACTTTGGAAATACTTTTTCGAGTTGTCAACAGAAACCTTCCTATCTGTATTCATTTTGTTTTAATTAAAAGAAGGAAATGATAATTTAATAGGGTTGTTTATTTATGAAACATGTAACGTGTTTCAGTTTTGGGAGTGAAGTAACTGAATGGACTCAGTGCTGATCTGAAATTGTGTAGCTCTCTGTTGAGTTTAAAAAAAAACCCTTAAATCAATTGTAAATTA